CTAGATGAATTGTTTGATATGCTACAGTTGAAAGGAGGCTGATAAGTTGTATAATTCGGGGAATTATATACTTGATTAAATTCAGGGGTTCTATTCGAATTTCTGTTTATAAATAAATTGATTAAGATTTGTTCGTTATCAAACCAATTTCTATTTGTCAAAACGTCTTGAATTAGATCGAGTAAAGATTGTCGATTTCCACTTCTAAATTGAAAAATTGCTTCACGCACAGTTTGTAAATCCCTATTAGCATTAGATTGAGTGCTTGAACCAGTTACATTCTTAGAACTTTTAGGGCCCCTCTTTTTCTGGGGACCGAATATACAATCTTGGTTATGTTTGATGCACTGCTGACACGAACCATTACTTGTATAGATACATCTCTTCTTTTTCAATCTACAAACATTGCAAGATGAAGAATTGTTTTTTCTACCATTCTCATTTGTAGGTTTTTCATACATTTTGAGGATACACGTATTTAACAATTAAAAATAATATCCCTTCCAGGTATACAAATATTTTCCTCAAATATACTCGAGAGAGTTATATGACTAATAAAATTCTCAAAAAAATGTTCTTTAAAGTTAAGTTATCAAGTTTTCATAATAAGGAAAGAAATTCGTGTTTAAATAAGAATAGATAGATAATTGGAAAATTCAATTTAGTATGCGCTTTAATTCTTCCGAGGTAATACAATATTTAAAAAAGAATGCAGTATTTAATAAAATTTTACAGAATTTAAATGGATTATACGAATGTTTAGTAATACATATGGAATTCGCCGATAATTCCGTATTTTATATACGGAATATGCCATAGCCGATGATTTTCTGTGGTGATAATGTCGATTCTGTATTAAATTGATAAATTCTGCAGGGTTTCCGTGGTATTTTTATAGTGTTTGCAATCTGTTTCTGCAATCTCTTGATATCAGGTTACAAAATTTTTGCTTTACATTTGCCTAAAAAAAAAAATCTCGTACAAAAAAAAAGAGTATTAATATTAAATTTTTCAACCGTTTTCTGCGGCAATTCTACAGTATTTAATGACATTTCCGTGGCAGTTCTACAATATTTACGACACTTTCTGCATCCACGCCTCTATTCCGTAATTTCTATGGCATTCCGTGCAACGCAAAAAATCGTCGGGGCCAAGGAATTGATCAAGAATTTAACTATTTCTTTATATAAAATACGGAAATTCCGTATGCAATACTGTAAAATTTCTATTAAATGATAGAATAGCGGAACAAACCGAAATGGCCATTATAAACAAATATTATTCGTCTGATTGGCTGATTGATTTAATTGTACGTAATTAGCTTTGTACAAATTAAGAGATAATCATATTAGAATTGCCTTTTGTTTTCATTATCTTGCTATTTTGTTAAGCCAGTCTGTAATTATTTTACAAATGTAATAAGGCTTGAGTCGTTTTGTGAATCGGAAACATACATTGCTTAGCTAATTTAATATGGTATTCGGAGCAAATCCCGGCCGTAATTCATAATTAATATCAAACTGCAAGTTTTCATTAAAATCACGTTCATCGAAAGTTTTGGTTGATATTTCAGTCATAATAACACTAAAGCTATAAAATATCAACTGCTGGAATAACATAAGGCATAACACCATAAATATCTCCTTCTGAAACATCTTTCTTTCTAGATAATTTTTGATATGTAATATAATATTGCACATTTTCATTAGTGCATTGACCTTATATTGTTATTGTGAAGGTCAGCATGAGTGTATTTTACATAATCGATGAAATATCTTTATCATAAATAATTGCAATTTAGCCTGCCAAGTAAACTTTTTTTCTAAAAAATTTTCTTAAATTTTATGAAGGTTTTCATTATCAGCATACCGAAATACCAGAAATTTTTACTAGGCAATCCAACCCGATTGCTAAATATGCAAAGCCAAATCCTCCATTGCCAATTTCTGTAATATTAGATATGGAATCCACTCATTCCCTATAAATAAAATTTTAAAATTGTATCAGACTTTGTTCAAATTATTTTTTTTTATAGCTGTTTTCAAAAAGGTGTGAACGAACGTAAATCACAATATCATGGGTAATTGATGATATTTTCCAATTTCCAGAGTTTTAAAGACCCGCTCTATTCGGGTCTTGAATTTTTTCTTAATCAGAATTTTAACATTCTTTGATTTTCCACATATGTATATAGAAATTGTTGTTCACACCGTTTTGAAAACAGCTGTAAAATGAGCATTTTCTTTAACAAAAACCTATACAAAGCCGTTAAAATTTTCTAAATATTTCAAATTTCCTGGATATTTCTAAAAATTTGTTAATTTCCTGATTATAATTTTTTGCTTGATAAAATTATAATCAGCAAGTTAACAAGGTTTTGAAATATCCAGGAAATTTGAAAATATTCAGAAAATTCTAAAGGTTTTGTATAAGTTTTTGTTAATAAAAAACTCATTTTTTAAAAAAAAATAATCTGAACAAAGTCTGAAATATGATTTTAGATTTTTTTTTATAGGGATTGCGTACTCATATTTAAAGGAATGTAATCATGCTGGTTGAGTGTTATTTTCATTACAATATGCAGATTTACTGTGTTCATTATCCTGATAACTAATCATTTTAGGAGCCAAAAGCATTTTTTATGCCAAACTAATGTAAAATTTAAATTTTGAGTTCGTTATATCAGCATTCGTTATTCGTTATAGTGAAGTTCTTTATATCCAGAGTTCGCTATTACAACGTTCTTTATATCCTGAGTCGATTTTAGATGTCATACTTCGGTCCCTATAAAAAAAAAATTTAAAAAACATATTCAGATTATTTTTTTTAAAAATGAACATTTTTCTTAACAAAAACCTACACAAAACCTTTAGAATTTTCTGAATATTTTCAAATTTCTAAAACCTTGTTAACTTCCTGATTATAATTTTATCAAGCAAAAAATTATAATCAAGAAATTAACAAGGAATTAGAAATATTCAGGAAATTTGAAAACATTCAGAAAATTTTAAAGACTTTGTATAGTTTTTGTTAAGGAAAATGCTTATTTTAAAAAAAAAATAATCTGAACAAAGTCTGAATACGATTTTAATTTTTTTTTTTATTTTTTTTATTTTTTTATAGGGCGGTATGGAACTATGTATCGTAGATTTAGAATCCACCTTTAATAATGCTTTCCAAACATCTTGACAGCAAACCAGTAATAGACGGCTTGAAATATTTATCACACGTCAGATCCAAAATTGGGATTATAAAAGATCCGTGCAAAAAACGCATTTGTCATTTGTGATCTTAGTAGTTGCAGTCTATGATCCGGTAATTATATTTTAAACGGGTGCTTAAATTTTGAACCGGGTCATAACCTTAAGTTGGAATAATGATTGTAAAAAATATTATTAGAATAATTTCGCTTTAATCCTATTTAGATAATAGTAATAAAAATTAGTGAAACTCAAGATATCAGAAACGACTTTCTCTTTGAATTAGAATAAATTTCAAGTCTATTAGTTAAAATGGTTTAAAGAATATGGCATTCTTTGCCAAATTTTAGTCAATTAATAGCAATTAATGGGCTAAATGATCGCTGAGAACAACAAATAAATAGGTTTGAGAAAATGAAAAAAGAAATTTTTCGTATACATGTATGTGCTTATGTCCGTATTTATAGTACTAAATAGTCTAGATAACTGATAACGAGTTGATATGATAAAGATTGTGATGAAATCTATTATTTCTTTGAAAAAACATGATTATGCGATGGATTTAAGATTATAATTTATATCAGATATAGATGGGAAGTACTATATGGTGGTACAAAATGTATGAACATATTGAGAGAGCGAAATAACGTTGCACAGTTTAGCACCAATAGTTAATGGTAGGTTTGCCATGCCATAAAAGTGTCGGTCCCGTGATTCCGAGTATTCCAAACAATCGAAAAAAATATTTAAAGTCCATCTACATTAAGGTTAGGATATAGAGTAAAATCGCACAAGGAAAATAATCAGAGAATAAAAGGCGGTTTCTTATGAGATTCTCATTGTGTTACGTTACAACTGATTTTGAAATTTTTATGGCCCGACTAACTTATTTAAGCAGTTACGCAGTTTCTATTGGTCGCAGGCAAATCGTACTTCCGATTAGCCGGCGCAACTTGACGATAAACGATCTAAACTTTGAAAGAAGGTTTCTCATTTTATTATGTAGAATACGAATAAAAAAAACTTGATCGCAATTAGTTTGGTGGCTGTCAAAAAAAACCTTCGCTCAAAGTTAAAGCAAATCAATCTCATTTATAAACAAATAATTGATTTTTTAAAACTCAGCCAAGATTTCTCAACAATCACCTGACCAGATTTAGGATTAGGCACGAGGGGGATTTAAACGAACACAAGAATATTTGATTTGACCAAATTAAATCATGTGATTGATGAAATTACGGTGTTGTGATTGGGGAGGGGACATTACTTATTTCTGCAAGTGATACAAAGCCCAAAAAGGAAAAAACATTAGTTTTTACTAATAAAACGGTGAATTTATGACGTTAGAGTTAGGGTTATGATTAGGTTAGAGCTTAGTCACTATACGTAAAATTTAGCAAGAAATTTTTTTAATTAGAGCGCAAAAGGTGGTTTCTTAGTCAAATTTTAAAGTTACGGCCGATTTTTGAAAATGTCTTCGATTTTACGTTACACAACGCGTTCACCTGATCAAATGATCTACTATAAAAATTTCCTTTTCACGTCATTTGTTTTCTAACTAGTGTCACGGTTCCCCTCGTGACACATTTCCCGGGACTTACGATTTCTTTTATTTTTTTTATTATTTTTTTATTTATTTTTGTTGTTTGTTTGTTAGCTACAATAGTGAGAACAGTATGCGAGATATATCTGATAAATATATCCATATAGAGTAAAAACTGGTTATCGTTGCTGTCGTTGTGGGTCTGTTGTCCATCAAATTGGATAACCAGTAGTGACCGGATTGTTTATCTGGGGGCTCCCTTGAACTGATTGTCGAGGGACCAAGGTCTAAATTAGATATAATTTATCGAAGGGAAAGAAAATAAACATTGCAGTCTAGATTGTAGATAGAGTTGACGCTATATTGTAGTTACTTGTTGTAGAAAGAAAAATGTATTTAAAGATGTCTTTTTTCGCCTTAATAAAATTTCTTCAGACTTCGATGTCTTGAATATAAGTAAGATATTAGGAATCGAATTCTCGAAAGTGTTAAAATTAAAAAGTTTATTGAAGGCTCGATTTTTTCGTTATTTCACTATTTCTCTATTTTTATTATAACCATTTTTCTTCGCTAATTATTCAATAAATATTGAATTACATTTTATTATAACTTAAACCCCGTCCGATTAGATTAAATAGATCAGTGACCCATTTATTACACTTATTACCTTTGTCATAATTACTTAAGTGTGATCGATACATTTAAGTGATCAAACCCC